GGCAGGCTCGGCAAAGAGCTACTAGGTGTCAGAGCCCAGTTCTCGCCCCCCAAGCGAGGCGTCAAAGAAGGATGAGCAAGAGGCCTGACCCTAGCTTCAGATGCGCTCCCTGATTGTGGTCCGGAGGTCTCGCCTCGTATCAAAAGCGGGTTGAGGGGTGTGGCAGGTGCAGCTGACCCTACAGGAGGACCAAGGCGTGGTTGCCTTGCTTTAAGTGGAGAGCCAACACCGACGCCTGCCGAATCACCCAAAAAATTAGCTGACTCCGACGCCAAGCCTAGCCGGGATGGGGAGGGATGTGCTCGCCAATTGTCACTGTCCTTATGCCCGCCCCTGTCTTTGAATCTCCAGCTCGCCTTCGTTGGGCTATGAGAGGCGGGCATGCCATGAGGTGGCTCTCCAGCCACGCTAGCGTGTGACTCAGAAGGCCTACTGCGAGATGCGCTAGCTCCATTAATCGTTTGAGGAGCAGCCACCGAGTTGGTCTGCTCTGCTGTGGAGTTCAAGGAGGTCGATGGTGGTGGTCTAGGTTGCCTCCAGCTGGGCGCATCAGCTCCCGACCAGCTCATGGCCGCACAGGGCGCGGAAGCTAGCCTGAAGCAACCCCCAAGCGCAAGTAGATGGAGTCCTCACTGAATGAGTGACGGCAGCGGCCTTGACAGGCAAGAGCTACCGCAGAAGATTTGCTGTGCAATGAGACGAGGCAGAGGTGTGCGAAGGTGTCGATTGGTAGGTTGGTGTGGGCGATGAGGTTTGATTGTGCATGTCCGAGAGCTCGTGCCGACATGCCTCTCCATATGAAAAGGGCTTCGACAGTGCAGCGGGAAGTTTTAATAATATGAGGAGTGCCTACACAGTCGTCGTTCTAGTATAAGATGTGATTTGACTGCCGTCCGAAGGGACTGAAGTTGATGAGAGCGCTATGACGCAAGCGGACAAAGTAGACCTGTTGAGCTCTGCGCTTCTCCTTCAAGTCACCCTTGTCAGGTCGAGTACAAATAGGTAGCGCTGTGCGTGGTACAGTTGCCAGCAGATGCGCCTCGGCTTCTGATCTTTGGCGGGTTGCTTGTCGCCTGCTCCAGAGCACCCGAGCGGTAGGGCGGGTTGCTGGACTGCGGAAGCGTGCAGGTGCGACTGGCGTGGTGGTGCCCAGGTAGATGCAAAAACTCAAAGGACGGCGTCCATCGCGCTTTTTCAAGAGGTGATCGAAGCCATCCTCACCACGATGTTGGGATGTCGAGGACACTTGGAGGGATGCGCTAGCAACTGTGCGGTGCGGTACCCACGACTTTGTCTGTACCTACTGACATGTATGCACGCTCCACGCTGTCGGGTTTGTGGTTCGTGTAGGTATGCTGCCGTGAGAGTTCAGCAGGCGCGGGCGCTGCTTGTGAAGCTCCACCCAGCATGCAGCACGGGCGACGCGCCTTTGAAAACGCTTCGGCGCCTAGACATACAGCATAGCCACGCTTCCGGATTCAACATTCTCGATTTACCATTTGAATCGTAAATCTTGCTTCACGATTAGTCCTTCTCCTAGCTGAGAAAGCGCTCGCTTCATGCCTGTTGCTGCTCGATTCTGATCAAATGGGGTTGGAAAGAGGTCTCGTCTCGGTATTCATTCTATTCAAGATCAGACGACGAAGGTGATTAGGTATTGAGTTTGTCCCCAAGTCCCCTTTCTAATCCCGAGCTTGGATGGCGTGCATGCACCCGCAGGCCGCTTAAATTGCGCCTCATTCAGCCTGCAGCGGCAGCAATCCGAGGCGATGGTTGCGCAATCCAAAATTCACACCAATCGATCGATACGGAAGCAGACTGAAAGCTCGTATGAGACTCACAACTTCAGAGGATTCAGAGGTGGTGCGCAACATTCACAACCGAAGGATGCGCGCTCCTTTCGAGCATTCAAATGCTTGCAAAGTCATATCAGCATGAGCCCGCCTGTGAGCATGACTCATTCGCCTCATTCACGATTCTTGATTGTGAGTGCGGGTCTTACGCGTCGACCTTCATAGCGCGATTCGAGGAGATTTCTAGCCCAACCATCAGACGCACGCGGAAAGAGTTGGGGCCTTTAGCCGCGTTCTCTGTGCCTGCTTTTGCCCCGAGGTTCAGGCAAGTTCTCGCCGAGTGGAGCTTTGGTGTCCGTTCAGACCGCGAATCAGACGAGACGAACGACTCGACCGTTCGTTCAGCATTCTCGTGGGTATCCATTTTCATATGCCCAGACAGCTGGGTACCACCTACTCACGACGGCAGGGTGGGAGACGTGGCGATTCGCGTTTTGGTTGCTTTGCTGGCAGGATGAAAGAGTGTCCATCTCATGCACCATGGCAACCGATCACATGGTCGCGTTTCCCTACTCCGCCGACCTCACGCAGCCACGCACAGCCACCTTCTGAAGGCGGCCAAGTCTCGTTGCCGCGGGGGGCGATGCTGCTGTGGGCGCGAGCCTTCTGTCAATTTGAATGCTTGTTCGGCGGTCCTGCGCGCGTGCTGCACGTTTGATGCGGACCTCGTGGTCTCGGATCCGACTTGCATGGCGATGCAGGCCCGGCCGGAAGAGTCACGAGTCGTGAGTCGATGAATGATATCGCAGCCATGAATCGACCTCGGGGTGCGCGCCCTGGATCAGGCGTGCGCTGCGAACGCCACGGCGTTTGAAAACATTCTCGACACTCTCTCGACCATCGCGTAAGCTTTTAGTTCGCAAGTGGCTTGATAGACAGCGGCACTCCCGTCAAGACCCCAGACATCGACGAGCACAGCAAGAGCAAACTGCTGCCACAGCAAGCTGAGTCTACTCTTGAGCAGCCGGTCTACCGACGGATCCTGGATGTCAGCATATGTCCAGGCAAAGTCAAAAGTCTGAAAAGGACAGGCAGTGCGCGGCGCTAGTAGAGTAGCCCCAAGCTCGATACAGATGTTCCATTGTTTCGTTTGATTGTAACCAGGTGCCGCCCACTCATCACATTATTTGCTACAACAAGAAGCACGAAACAAAGGGCTGAAGAAGTGTAGAGGTGTGAAAGTACTTTAAAGCAGAGCTTCCAGAGATTTCTTACAGGCGAGGAAAGCGGTGTGCACGGCGCGCACAGCGCGTACAAAGCATCACCATGATTGCTAGTTTGCAGCAAGAATCTGTTCCACGAGAGCTTCGAGCGAGCGCCAGGAGGCCTGCCAGTCCCTCAACGAGCTTCCGACTGCAAGATTGGGCGCTGGAGCAGGATTGCCTTCTAGCAAGCCAGAAGTGTTTTGCCAGCCAGAGAGTTGCGAGCCCGCTGCACTATCGCTACCTTGCTGCCACTGCTCTGGGTGAATAGTCGCGTCGGTGGGCTGCTCGGCACTCGCAGCTGAGACGCCAGCCTCGGGATCCCATGGTGCAACGTGGGGAGCCCGAGGTGAGCTTTCCACCTGACTTGCCAGGAGTTCAAGCCCAGTAGCCTGCTGCTGCTGTTGCTGATGTCCTGACTGCTGATGGCCAGAGGAAGCGTCGCGACCGCCGCCATTCGTGGGGAAGGCGTAAGATGACGAAGATTGATTAACTCCTGGCTGAGCAGTATGACTGGTCTCAAATGACTGCCACCATTGGTCATCGAATAAGGCAGCTTCGAGGGCCGCCTGACTGGCTTGCGCGGCTTCGGCGCTACCTTCCGGATACGAGTTGGCGGATGCTAGAGGGTCGACCGAATGAGCTTGCGACGGATTGGATAGTGGCGCGTAGCCAGTCGCACTAGCGCTCGGCTCGGGATAGCCTTGACCCGTGCTATTACCCTCAACCACAATGCCCGGTGACGACAATGCACCCATGGCCGCCCGCTTTGACGCACCGTTGGCTAGCGGTGCTTCAAGCTTGGCTCCCGGCTCTGCTGACGCGATAGCGGCTTGATGCTGAAGTTGAAGCGCATCCATCTCGCGCAGAGTCGAAGCGTAGCGGGCTGCCTGCTCAGCGACATTGCGTAATCCGGGACGGGACGACAGGGAGTCAAAAGCCTCCACAGCCCGGTCGATGATTGGCCGAGTCAAGTTGCGGAAGGCTGCGGCGTCGGGGTCCGAGTCAGCACAGAGAGCGCTCTGTACGCTGAGGACAACAGCAGCTTGGAACAGCGGATGGGAGGCCGCGTGGTAGAAGACGAAGGGTGGTGTTGGGTCTCCCAAGCAGAAGGTCCACACAAGATACACGATGCGTTGACTGCGGGAAACAAGGCTGGTAAGTGAATGTCTTGCTGAATCGCGTGCGCTACCACTCACGCAGCATCGAGGCATTGGGACAAAGCATTTTGTGCATCGCCGGGTGTGGTCCAAGATCCGGCTGCGTCAAATTGAGGTCGATGAATGGCCATCGTTGTCTGCAATCGGGTGAGCCGGAGCATCACGCGCTGAAAGTAAGCAGTATGCTTTCTCTCGACGAGATTTGCCGCGCTGACGTGATCGGTCTCGCCTCCATCCTGCTCGGCAGCATCGAGCGCTTCCGCGCTACCCGCTCCGGCCAGCGGCCCACTGTCATCTTGATGCAAGAATTGCTCTACTGTAGGTGGCAAGCGAGTTCTCCACTCTTGAAGTACTCCGGCGATTTTTGATGCTGTAGTATCCGAGCTTTCAGCACGCGAAGGATGAGCGCCGTGTATCACCAAGAGACGCACAAGGTCGTACCGGGCCGCATGAAAGTCAAAATTGGTACGAGAAGGCCTTAGTAGGCTTACACTATTCGCACCAGCGCCATTAGAATGCTGAGAGGCAGATGCTTGCAGCTTCTCAGCGCGAGCGTATAGGTTCCATAATCCCCCGTGATCAAGGGGTAGCTCGGTGTCAAAACTGTCGGCTGTGATCGTGCATGGCATGTTGAGACGATGACTACTTAGCACTTCCAGCATGACGCATGAGTACCACATATTTCTCCTCGCCTGCGACTCTTCTTTACCCATCGTTTTCCAGTGTTTGGCGTCTCTATGAAGACCAGCGGCATGAGCGAATCGGACGGTCATGGCGAAGCAAGAAGAGGCGAACTGAAGATGGAGCTCGGCCAAATGATACAGCCCGCGAAGCATGCTGGCCCTGACCAAATCCAAGGGCGCAGAGAACGCGCTAGACCAGTTGCTGGGACAGCCAATCTGAAGCGCATCGATACATTTGCCTGCGACTTCCAAGAGTTTGGCTTCACTGTCGCAATCTTCCAGCCCTTCGTCGAAAGAGCCCGCTGCGCCGGTGGTTCGACGAGCCTGGGAAGCTAGTGCCAGCAGCACCAAAACCAAAGGCACCAAGGGTGGGTCGGCAGGTAGACTGTCGGGGTCCGAGTGCCACCATCTCAGGAACGCCACAATTCGAGGTCGGTTGAGGTCGACGATGACTGCATTGCACAGAGGCTCAACGTTGGCCCGGTACGCATCTAGGAAAGGCCCAGCGGCTTCTGGTCGAGGCAGGCGAAGAGTAGAAGTATTGAGACCGCTCGGCGCTGCATTTGGCAGACACGAGAACAGCACCCCTGCCACCGCTGCTGAACGCGAGGCTCTGACGCGGACATCGAAGTCGAGTGATTTCCGCCTTCCCAAAGCAGAGGTCCGAGCGATCAGGCCTTGGCGACTAGTGGAGGCCGTTGTTACGTTAGCAAGAGATGAGAGCGCCGTCTCTTCCTCTTCCCCGTGCCCAGATTTTCTGCTGTTCCTTGGCCGCCTGGAGATCGGGAAGTCGAGGTCAGAACGGGGTGCACACGAATTTCGGCCTCGCTACTCACTTGGTGTTCTGCCTCTTCTGCATCTCAGCTTCCTCTTCGCGCCTTCTGATCTCCTCGACTCGTAACTTTGAAGCAGGGCTAGCTGCTGTTGCAGCCGCCTCGCCCTGAGAATCGCCTACATAGGTGCATGACGTCCCCTCCGGACAGCCACCACAACGAGGCCGCTGACGATCGCATTTTTGCTTCCGGGCTCGACATTCCAAACAGGAAGTGATCGGTCTATGCCGAGTGATTTTGCCAGATGGTCGAGCCCGCTTCGCCTTGCGTGGAGTGGGTTTTGCGTCGGCACTTGATCCCGCGCCACCAGCTGAGGAGTCTTGAAGTGACCTTTCCATAGCAGCCATCGCAGCAGCGGCGGCGGCAGCAGCAGTGGCAGCCGCATCAGCTTCCTGGTCCGTGTGAGAGGGAACATGCTCTACAGCAGCTCCAGCTTCAGCGGCATCGTCCATCGACTGATCCTCGCCATGCACGAAGGAAAAATCAGCAGTCTCATGAGCCTTTGGATGGTCCACAGCGTTTTCGGTTTCCACGCCAGCGATGTGCTCTTCGGAAGGTCGCTCTGTCGAACCGTCGTTGTAGTATGCTGTCTCGTCCTGTGGGCCTGCTTCCAGGCCGTCCGGATCGTAGGACACGCCGTTCACCTCCATTTGCTCGGCGTTCGCATCGTGAGGTATGCCTTCTTGCTCGTGCTCGACGTGTTGCTGACCTTCGAGATGTGCTTGTTCAGATTCAGCCACTATGCCGTTCTCCTCGGCGCCCGGTGGTGCGAACAAATTGCCCGCATGGGCCTGAGCGCTCGACAGCGGGGCGGACATTCCAGCTGCGGGGGAGCGAAGTGAGAGTGCTCGCGCGGTGGGTCGCCGCAATAACGATGGGAAGAGCAGTGAGGGACTACAGCACAGCACACGGATGTTAGGCGTTCCATTCCTTGAAGCCTGAAGTGTGTAGAGGAGGGTGGGATGGTCCCTCGTGTTGACCACCTCGTTGTCGGGTATGGCCGAGGATGAGGGCTCGATCGCTTCCTCACTCTACCGCACATGCATCCATGCAGGATCCCGAGGGCGCGTCGCGCTTTCGGCAGTGCGGACTACGCTGATACGGAAAATTCTCGCACGGGTGAAGTGCCACCATGCATGCATGAGCACACTTGTGACTATAGTCCGCCGCAACCCAACATGCTTGCGATCACGGATCGTGAATATGAAATGTGAATCACACGTACCGACCGCTATACAGTTTGAGTATGTGATGATAGACTCATCAAAATCAAAGCTGTTGTGACGTGTGACTTGTGCCGCAAGAGTCTCTTGCCACGCGCGACTATTGGACTCTAGGCGGTCCGGTAGCGTCGCACGTGAATATTATAAGTTAATCTTCAAAACTCGTGACTTCAACGCAAGTCTTGAATCGCATTCAATTGAATTGGATTCTCGTTTGTGATTTACTATTCAACTTCATCAAGTCCCCACGAGAATCGAAAGTCAAGCATCTTGGTAGTCCGTTGGTATGAATGCTAGGATATGCCCCGTCTTCTACACCATCACAGACTAACCTCGGCTTGATCAAATCTGCTTCTATACTGTTCGTGTTCGCTTCATGATTGCTCTCTCAGCTTGACGATGGCAGCAGTGAATGAAGAAGGCGCGTGCCTTGCCGCTTCCAAGCCCGTGCAAGGGAGTGACAAGGCTCGTCTCAGCGAGGTAACTGCTCACGGCCACACCTCGGATTGGTTTGGTGCTGACTCTCACTTCTTGGCGAGCATCGAAGATATGATGGCCAGCAGCGTCACCGACCCCGTCTCGGTCAGTGTAGCACACTCTCCTGCCGTTGACCGCCGAGGGGTACCGAGCGAGAAACGCATACAACCACCAAACATCGACCTCGGTCTTGTTATAAGCGGGCAAATGAGTCCGAAAAGATCCTACAGTCAGACTTTTGGCCCCAGCAAATCTGTATCGTCGAAGAGAGGTCCCGCGGAGCACAGCGATACGTCGAGGACGCAGTAAGCTGGCCAAACTAAAGACAACATGAGTCTGCCAATTCGAAGCGTGTATGCTAACCCTGCTGACTTCAACGCTTCGACAGTGTCATGAGCATTTGGGAACGACAACAAGCGGGTGCTTTCGGGTCCGCTAAGCCTTCCGAGGTAGTGTGATGTCAGAAATGCCCGCGCATGCCGTCAGCGTGCTCACCGTCTTGCTTTGGCGATCTCACAGACTCGTGCATCAAACAGATCGGAGCTCACCTTCTCCCATGCCAGCGCAACAGATGACCTGCGCAGTGATACGGAGCGAGCAAAAAATCGTGCAGCCTCTCGCGACATTGAAGTATGCGATGCCCAGTCCAATGTGGAGCACGTGCGCACGCCATCTGCCCTGGTCACTCGAAAACGGCATAGCCAGGCCGAGGTCAACAGCGCATCATCACGCCTTCAGCGAGCGTCGCACTCGGCTCAAGAGGAGACTGTGCCTGTTGCACAATACCAGGCTTTGCGAGGTCGAGCTCGTCGTCCCAAGGACGATGTCCACACTTCGGCTGCGACACCTGCCAACAGGACTTTAAATATGCCATCACAGTCTCAGGTGCTTCTGGCAAGACCTGTGCCAGAAGCCAGCACCGCGACGCCCCAGAGAAAAGCACGTCCTAAATCGCTCCTCAGCGACATGGTCGAGCATACTGAAATGGAAAAGGCGGCTCTAGAAGGAGACTGCATCGAGCTTGTGCGTGGCGAGAGGGGTCTTGCAGCAGCTGGTCTTTGCTCATCTGCCTTTTGAGCCAATAAACGGTAGAAACGTCTACTACAAACGTCACAGCAAGAGCTCGCAGCAACAAAAGCACTTCTTACAGACGAAAAGTCTACGCTCAGGACCATGCTGGCGAGAGCCTCGCGGCTATCTAAAGAGTGCGTTGACAAGACGCTCACAGCATACATGCTAGCGCCCTGATCTCTCCTGCTGTCCAGAGCCGAGGCAGCAATGTGTGATGCAAGCAAACTGCGTGCGGAGCAGTCAGACCTCATGCGAGACCTAAAGGCGAGCTTGTACACTATGAAACCGACTTAACGTGATGGCCACAGCTAACGCCGCCGTCTTTCTGCGGGTGCAGCGCCCCTTTGAAGAGGCAAAGTTGAATCTTGAGGCTCGGACCGAACAAGAAGGTGGGTAGCAGCGGCGCTGCGTTGTGTTTCTCGACCTATGTAAGATTGAAGCTTATAATAGAACCAAAAGCTGCCTTGGCAGGTCTGTGGACAGCGTTCCAAAAGCTTAAGAGAGGATTGGACGCCTGCAAGGATGCTCCAGCACAAATGAACCTATGTGAGAGAGATGTAAGATATGGGATTGGTAGCAACCAGCTAGCTAACGCCCCGTCGCCTTCTGCGCTACAGTGCAGAACATGCTCGCTCAAGAACAAGAGAAGGCCAAGAACGCCTTGTACGATAAAGCTGACCTCGTGGATCAGCTCAAGGCGGTTCGAGATGACCTCGACAACCAACACAAATCCCTTGCCGAGCAAATCAGATCGAAAGAGACCGTTTCGGACGAACTGAATCAAGAGCGACAGCGTTTCGCAGTCATGACGACGCGCATGGAAGGAATACAGGCCCAATGCAGGTCTTGGGAGATACAATGCGAGGAGAAGGATCAACAGTGAGATGTTCGATCTACGGTTGCCGAAATGCTTCGTTGACCATGATGCTTTGTGCAGTCTCAAAGCCCTTGTCGCTGATCAAAGCAAGCTCTCAGACGAGATTGCGGGCGTCCTCAAAGATATGCGAGCATGCGAGCAGTATCTGAGCGTTTCTCGAGATGAGGCCAAGGTCGTCCAGGAGCGGTGCGTACCGCAAAAAGCCAGTTGCTGAGCCGAACGTGGACTACTCATCACGATCCCCTTGTATAGCCTCAATGCTGTTCTTGTAGAGCTCGCATCATCTCAGGAGAAGCTGAAGACGTCGGGATCGGAGTGTGCGCTCCTTAATGCAGCACTGTCAGACGCCCAGCAAAGAGTCGAGGCTATGACGAGGCAAGAGAGCACCTTGCGTGAGAAGCTTGAAGCCAGCGACAACGGCCTCAAGGTCTCGCAGAGCAGGTGAGTTGAAACTGATTCCCACCTTGCTAGCATCAATTTCACACCACCATGGTCTCGCAGTCTAGCGGCCGCGCAACGAGAATTAGGCGAACAGGCCGTTCAAATTGCAGTGCGTAACCTTTGGCTCAATGCCGTGGATCTGCGCTCACGAAACATAAGGATTCAGAATCTTCAAGGGGAGTTGAACGCTCAGCAACAAGTCTTGGAAGCCCGCAGCGCCGAGGCCACGCGTCAAGTCGTGAGTGAGGCTTGTCTGCCTATTCTTCGATTTCATTCGTCGTCATCTTGGTGACGACTCCGTGGTCGGCAGGCGTCGCTGGAGAGTGAGCGCCACATTTCGTCTCGTCTCCGAGAAGACTGCAATGCAGCCATCCAGGCCAGGGACGAAGCAAGGAACGAAGCCGCCGAAAGCCAGAAAGAGGTCATCTTGCAGCAACGAACTCAAGCACAGCTTCATGCGAATTTCGAGTCGCTGCGCTCCGAACTTCAGGAGTCAGCGCTCAAAGCTTCCAACATGGAAGCTCAGCTTGCCTGCGCCAAGACGGCAGAGGATGAAGGGCGACGAGTAGCGGAAGTGCAGAACCAGCGCGTCACAGAGGCATCAGAGCGCGCAAAAACGACGCAAATGAAACTGGAGCAAGCGCAGTCCGAGCTCACTGCAGTCCGTGAAGAACTCAAAGAGTGCCAGGGGCGAGCGGCACAGCTCCATGCAGACCGCACAGGTCTAGCAAACCAAATGGCCCTCACTATGGAGGCACTCTCTGGATCGGGCCAGCCACAGGCTCCTGCAGCTGGCGGCTTTGAGATGACCTTGGATCAAGATGCCGATCTTTGCACTCAATCTGGTGCCTTGATTCTTCGTCAATCTCATGCAGCAGTGGAGTCCATGACTCAAGAAAGCTTTCCTGACCGATATTACGCTGGGCGTATTGTCAGTATTTTCTCTGTCGATTCGATCGGGACTATTCACGGAACTCAAACCCGCTCTGCCCTGTATTCTCACCCCAGACGGCATATGAGGCGGACTTCATGGTACAGTTCACGAAGAGCTTGGATGAACAGCACGCGAAAGAAACGGCGAAGAAAGACAACGAGCTCAAGAGGGTAAGTAACTACAAGCGTCTGCTGTTTCCTTGACACTCACGTAAGTCTTTGCTTCAGGTCCAAAATGAGAATAAGACTTTGATCAAGAAGCTGAGCGAGGTACGTGCGGGCTTGTTTGATATTTTTGGATCGCTTTGATTCAGTCGCTGATGCTTATGTGCCGGCGCTCGTCTAGAACCAGCGCAGAATGGGAGCGTTTGCCGCTAGCGCCTCCCTTGTCTCAGGCCAATGGCACGATCCAGAAATGCAACGCCGCCAGATCGATCTACCCCCTTCCGACGACGCGGAGGCCGCTGGCCAGAGAGTACGTATCTTGCATCCTGTTTCGCTCTCCAGGTATTCAAGCGCTGAAGTTCAGTCTGGCCTGCTCATTCTCAGTCGGCGGCTCACAGCCTGGTGACTCCAATCGTGAGGTCCAGAGAATCGATTCACGCTCGGTACGAGAAAGCACACTCACGCCCAACCTGCGCCGATCTCTTCACGCAGCGAGCTGAGCGCGCTGCCGATGTTTTGAGCACTCCGACTCAGCAAACAACCGTCGCTCCAGCGCCTCGAAGTGTTCCGACTGCGGGAAACTTCCAACGATCGGGAGCTGCGAGTCTCAGTGTGAGAAACACACAGCACGCTGTCATCAGCATCACCAAAATGCCACCCTCTAGTCCTTTGTCGTCCGCTCATTCGTCTCGGGCGTCCGTGACTAGCGATAATGCTACAAACGATGACACTTACATGACGGACACTGTGGGACCCGATGAGAGCATGGACGTTCGCACCTCGTCTGGTCAAGCCTCGACGCTTAGGAGAACACAATCACAGTACCCCTTGCGCTCAAGCATCAGGCGCCGTCCGTGAAAAGCTGCAGCACTCTAGACCAGCGCAGTCAGCCAACATGTCGGACTTCGAAAAACTAAAAACGCATCAGCACAGAAGATCAGAGCAAACTTACGACTCCAACAAAATGCGACGAGCGAGCCAGCGACGAGCCCCCATCACAAAGAGCACTCCATTTGTTGGCTCACTCCCTGTACCTTCGCGAAATCCTTCCAAACTCAAACGGTGCTGGAGGGTCAGCTTACAACTACGAAGGTCGATGTACGATCGACGAATCTCTATCCAGTGAGAATAAATCAGGCGTTCTGTTGAGAATAATCTGATGTCAAGGAATATGGGCCGGCGCCTCTTGAGTTGCGGGTTTGGCACGGGGGCGCGTCTGGTATGATGCATCCTGGCGGTCGTGTGTGTTACGGCCGAGGCGGTGTGACATCGAGAGGTGGACCTTTGTTCCGGATTTCGCTCCCAATCGACTTTTGAATAAGAGTTTGTCGAAAGGCGTGTAATGGGCGTGAGCTTGTCTACAGTACCAAGCTTTGATGCTGCGTGGGCCGTCTGTCACTGCCAGCGTCCTGCACTCTTAAAGGCAAGACCGTGGTGCACGCGGGTGCTATATAGCTGGTGACATTCGTGATTCCACCACTGAACACAGTCACGGGTGAATGAGTTGGCATGCATGCATGCGTGTGAGGAGGCCGGCTTAATTAAGCGACTCGTGACTGCTGTACCACAGCCCTACGCTTTCTCCGGCGGCTCCGCATGGATCCCTGGATCCCTTTAGTTCGCTCTTAACTCCGGTCATCATAGTTGCGAGCCGGCTGTGCTCCAAGCTGCTGCATCTTCCGGGCTTCTATTTCGAGGTGGAGGTCGAGGGGTCCAAAGATTGACGCGCTAAGTGGAGGCTAGCTGCTCTATAGTTGTTTGCGGGGGTGGTTCTATAAAGCAGCAGCTTGTCTTGCCCTCGTCACGAATGTCATCACACATCGACCATCACAAAGATACGCACACTTACAACAAGCTCTGGACGAGGGGCCCCATCAGATCGAGCAACGCAAACCAGCATGTCCGTCCCAAACACTTTCAAGAGCGCTATCGTCGAGGCTCCTAGAGCCAAGACGGTGATTACAGATGTACCAACACCCGAGATCAAGCCTGATGAAGTGCTGATCAAGATCACGGCTGCAGCCATCAATCCGGTGGATTGGAAGATGAGGGACGAGCCGGACAGGTATCCCTACCTGAAGGAATATCCCACTCCACTCGGCTCCGACGCTGCAGGCATTGTAGCAGCTGTAGGTAGCAGTGTAGACTCCTCTCATCTCAAGGTTGGCGATCCAGTCTTCTTCCAGGGCATTGTCGGAACTCCTAGAAACTCCACTCTGCAGCAGTATGCCGTCATTCCTGCCGAGCTGGCTGCCCTTCGACCCAGCAACATCACGGAGGAAGAGGCGGCGGGCATCGCTCTCGCTAGCGCGTGCGCTCTCGTGGGCATGTACCACGACACTTCAAGCACGCCTACCAAGCCTGGACCATGGGAACCAAGGGGCGATGTTGCTGGCAAGGGCAAAGCGCTCGTCGTTCTTGGGGGCTCCTCATCCGTTGGGCAGTACGTCATCCAGCTCGCCAGACTATCGGGCTACACACAAATTGTGAGTTGGAAGGCCAGCTGCAATGCAATGCAATGATTGGCGCGCACTCAGGCCAACATGTAATCGCTGCGCTACCAGGTTACCGGATCTTCGCCCAGCCATCATGCGCACCTCAAGCAGCTGGGTGCGACAGCTGTGCTTGACCGAAACGTGGCGGATGCTACGCACTACGTCTCGGCGCTGGGCGGTCTTGCAGTGGATTACGTGTACGATGCCATCAGCGAAGAGTCTACACACAAATTAGCCGTAGAGATCCTGCAACGCTCTTCAGGCAACAAGTCGGGCAAGCTGAACGTGATAAGCGTCCTACCTCCTAGCGAGTCTGCCAAAGCAGAAGCCAAACAAGCTGGCGTCGATATCAGCTTTATTCTGGGCATGGGCAGTCTGCCGAATGTCAGACCCATCTCAGTGCCCTTCTTCAAGGCCCTTACTGGATGGCTCAGAGAAGGCAAGTACGTGCCCAACAGGACTCACCTCATCAACGGTGGCTTGCCCGCCATCGAGCAGGCACTCGAAGCCAACAAGACGGCGAGCGGCGTCAAGATCATCATTCGTCCGCACGACGCTTGACACTGCATATTCAGGTCAGACTGCTTTTTGCAAGCAATAATAGCAAAGTGCTCATCAGAGCATGATACTCGTGATCATGCATGGATGCGCACAGGTCTGTCTGCTCGTGACCAGTCTATTATTGACCGTAGTGATCAGTCTTGACGAGCTGCGAGTCTTTGCACTCTTCGACGCGGCAGACACGATGTCGAAGCGAACGGTGTTGAGTGATGTAGAAGGTCAAGTGGTGTGTATTTGGACTCTATTAGCAGCGCAGCAAGACGCGGGAGGGACAAGCAAAGCGAATGAAAGTCTTGTGCGTACATGTCGTAGGTGAAGCACAATCGTGGATGGGAGTGTGAGTGACTAAACAGTCAAGCCATGAGTTTGGGTCAAAGTTGGAAAGCGTGAATTTTGATTTGAATGCAACCCACTTTCAGGTCACGTGATGCTCGAGCGCAGCGGTGGCTGCTGCGCCCGCGT